ACGAATATGTAGTGAGGACAAGCCAACAAGAGCGTACAGGTCACAATGGTGGGTAGTATATGGGGCTTTGGTGACAAAACGGATGGCACTGTGATAGACTACATCCAATTTGCTGAGTAGAGTGTTGGAAGCTATTTTGTATATGACATCGCCGAAGTCAAGGATCGGTAGGATAGTCAGTTTTACGAGGGCATGTTTAGCAGCATGAGTGAAGGAGGCTTTGTTGCGAAATAGGAAGCCGATTCTAGATTTAACTTTGGATTGGAGATGCTTAATGTGAGTCTGGAAGGAGAGTTTACAGTCTAACCAGACACCTAGGTATTTGTAGTTGTCCACATACCCTAGGTCAAACCCGTCGAGAGTAGTGATTCTAGTCGGGTGGGCGGGTGCCAGCAGCGTTCGATTGAAGAGCATGCATTTAGTTTTACTAGTGTTTAAGAGCAGTTGGAGGCTGCTGAAGGAGTGTTGTATGGCATTGAAGCTCGTTTGGAGGTTTGTTAACACAGTGTCCAATGAAGGGCCAGATGTTTACAAAATGGTGTCGTCTGTGTAGAGGTGGATCTGAGAGTCACCAGCAGTAAGAGCGACATCATTGATATACACAGAGAAAAGAGTCGGCCCAAGAATTGGATATACCTGCTGGAGCGCATACTACGGGTGGGTTTGGAGACGAATATGTAGTGAGGGCCAGCCAACGAGAGCGTACAGGTCACAATGGTAGGTAGTATATGGGGCTTGGTGACAAAACGGATGGCACTGTGATAGACTACATCCAATACATGTGATATTTGTTTGCCCAAAACACACCCACACACACTACAGCCCCCTTTTCCAGCCACACAGACACACATAACATGCAACACAAACGCTGATGTAAACACTCACGTAGTTCGTCAAAGTGTGTGTCTATGCCATTGAGTCCAGGTACAGAACACACCAGTCTGGCCTTCAAGAAGGTAGTCCACTTATTCACCAAACTCCTGTGGCCTCCAAAGTCATTCTGATATAGGAAACACAGAATGAACCTCTCAAACATTTACTGTATTCCCCTACAAAATAATACTACAATACAGTAACTTCATTTTATTATATTAACTATGATTGACACCTGAAAAGACAACAATGGCTTAATGCAGCTGTCTTACAGATTCTCATAATACTTTATCAAACACAAGTGACTTGAGTCTGCATGTGCGTGTTTGTTTTTCTGCACACATCGACAGAATACAGGCTCCCAGTGTGAGATAGAGAGAATAAACACATCCAGATCCACAGTGATTTATGACGGTCTATTAGACTGACGCCCCAAATATGCTGAGCCTAAATTTATATGGCATTCTGTATAATGAATGGATTGTGTTGAGTAGAGAAGAGCAGAGCAGATACCTCACATAGAGAGATCAGGCTGGGAGGGTGTGTGTGTGCGTGTGTGTGTCTATGTGCATAATTGTGTGTGTGTGTGTGTGTGTGTGTGTGTGTGTGTGTGTGTGTGTGTGTGTGTGTGTGTGTGTTGGGCAGGCTAAAGGGTGACAGAGGAGACACCAGTCTCTGCCAATACCAGCCATCATCCTACACTCTTAGAAAAAAAGGTGCTATCTAGAACCTTAAAGGGTTATTCGACTGTCCCCATAGGCGAAACCTTTGAATAACCATTTTTGGTTTCAGGTAGAACCCTTTTGGTTCCAGGTAGAACCCTTTTGGGTTCCATGTAGAACCCTCTGTAGAAAGGGTTCTACAAGGAACCCAAAAGGGTTCTACCTGGAACCAAAAGGGTTCTACCTGGAACCAAAAGGGTTGTACCTGAAACCAAAAAGGGTTGTACCTTGAAACAAAAAGGGTTCTCCTACGGGAACAGCCGAAGAACCCTTTTGGAACCTTTTTTTCTAAGAGTGTAACAGTACCACCACTGTGATTTACTCTCTCTCTCTTTCGCTCTGGCTCCAGTGTCATTTTTAAACCACTTCTCTCTCTCAGGTTTCCCTCAGTAAGAGAGACACACCAAACACAACAAACCTAAATATAACCTGAGAGGAGAGAGATAACTGGTTATGAAAGCAACCATTATGGAAAACACCATCACTCATCAACTCTGTTAGAGATCCAGGGAGCTGTTTTAGTCTGAGGTGTCTGAGTGTGTGTTTGTTCTGAATGTTTGTGTTTGTGTTCTGAATGTGTGTGTACCTTGCAGAGCTGTCCGATGCGTGCATGTGTAGCCTTCCCTGCTTGTTCCCCATCCATAGCATTCTCTCTGAAGAACAGGTAGATCTTGTCGTCCTCAGGGTTGTCACTCTCTGGGATCAGATGGACACTCATAAACCTGGGGTCTACACAAAAATATATATTATTTAAGAAATTATGAAATGGGAATCAACATAGTGGGCCAATTGCAACCATCGAAAACCACCAGATTATAATCAGCTGATCTCTTGTTATTAATCCATCAATACAGTACATGCTAAAATCACCCGCACAGCTGATCTCAATTGCAACCAAAATTTGGCAGCAATTTACCATTCCCTAAGGTTATCTTTTAGTCTGATTGCAGCCAACATTTTTCAAGACCATTCCGCCCTCCGGTTGGTATTATCATCGGAACAACTTAGTCCTACTTTATGAACAGACTAAGGGCGATCATTCTGTACAACTGAAATAAAGTATTTCCTCATTTACCTCGGAAGATCTATTGTGGCAATTTACCCGACATGTTGTATGAATGGAAAACTACTGTTGATAGTGTAGCCTATTCTAATTATTTTCTTCGTTTCCAATTCCAAAGGTGAATTTGTCTCCAAGTGTCTGTTGGAAAGCAGACTGAACCAGGTTTTCCTCTAGGATTTTGCCTGTGCTTAGCACTATTCCTTTTATCCTAAAACACTCCTTAATCCTTGCTGATGACAAGCATACCCATAACATGATGCAGCCACCACCATGCTTGAAAATATGAAGAGTGGTACTCAGTAATATGTTGTGTTGGACTTGCCCCAAACATAGTGCTTTGTTTTCAGGACGTAAAGTTAATTTATTTGCCATGGATTTTGCATTTTTACTTTAGTGCCTTATTACAAACAGGATGCATGTTTTGGAATATTTTTATTCTGTACAGGCTTCCTTCTTTTCACTCTGTCATTTAGGTTAGTATTGTGGAGTAACTACAATGTTGTTGATCCATCCTCAGTTTTCGCCTATCACAGCCATTAAACTCTGTTACTGTTTCCAGTCATCATTGGCCTCATGGTGAAATCATTGAGCGGTTTCCTTCCTTGCTGGCAACTGAGTTAGGAAGGATGCCTGTGTCGTTGTAGTGACTGGGTGTATTGATACACCATCCAAAGTGTAATTAATAGCTTCACCATGCTCAAAGGGATATTCATTTTTTACCTTTCTTTTTTTTAACCAATCTACCAATAGGTGCCCTTCTTTGAGAGGCATTGGAAAACCTTTCTGGTCTTTGAGGTTGAATCTGTGTTTGAAATTCACTGCTCGACTGAGGGACCTTACAGATAATTGTATGTGTGGGGTACAGAGATGAGATAGTCATTCAAAAATCATGTTTAACACTATTATTGCACACAGAGTGAGTCCATGCAACTTATTATGTGACTTGTTAAGCAAATCTTTACTCCTGAACTTATTTAGGCTTGCCATAACAAAGGGGTTGAATACTTATTGACTCAATACATTTCAGATTTTCATTTTAAATGAATTTGTAGAAATGTCTAAAAACATAATTCCACTTTGACATGATGGTGTATTGTGTGTAGGCCAGTGACACAAAATCTCAATTTAATCAATTTTAAATTCCGGCTGTAATACAACAACATTTTGAAAAAGTCAAGGTGTATGAATACTTTCTGGAGGCACTGTATGTTATCAACTTTAAAAGAAAAGTGTCTGAGATGATCATTTCTTATCAAGATCGGCAGTAAAATATCCCTGGACAGTCCATATTTTATATGTGTAAGTAAATCAAGTAAATCGTGATTGAGTTATAATCTATATTTGTTTATGAAATGAAAATGTAGTCTAGAAAGTTATTTCAAATGGCATATATTATATTATGTTGCCACCTAAGATTAAATGTTTGATTGAAATATAGGCTTACTACTTCTACATTCTTATGCTCTAATAAGTATTTGACATTCATCAGCCTTACGGATTCCAATGCCCCTGATAGGTCGATATTTCATTGGGGGTAAAGAATCTAGACCAGCTGTCTGCATACAGTCATTGGCATAATCACTTGACATGGTAACGACGAGAGATCAACTAATCTGCTGGTTTATCCTTGTGGGTTTTTCGTTGCAATGAAGCTTAATTTAGACCACAGGTGCATGTAATCTCCCGTTAGTAGCGTTTTAAGAAATCCAGCCATAACCTGCAGGAGCGCGTTAAGTTCTGCCTGTTCGTTGCATTCAAGCCACTGTGTCTGCTACCACTCCCCCACTACAGCCATGTCAATCACAGAGGATTAATGCTGCCTCTTTTTGTTATTCCCTCTCCCTCCTTCTTTTGTCCTCCCTCTCACGCTCCTCCGTCTTCTCTGTATGTCTCATTTGTTCTCTTACTCTGTGAACAACTTGCTGTCTCAGTTTCTGTCTGTCTGTCTTTTTAGTTTCTGTCTTTGAAACACTTTCTATCTCAATTTGAGACGGAATGGTTTAAATCAGACTCGTCTGCATGCCAACAGACTGTTACCGAAAGCCTGGGTATCAACTTGGGGAGATAACACAAGTCTTCAGGATTCAAGCAAGGTTTCTCATCATGCAAGCATAGTTCACTGAACTGAGAACATCAGAACTGAGAATGCACTTTATCTCCATCTCACCGTTCAGCCAGCGGGAGTCGTGTTGCTCAGTTCTGATGGGGTGATGCTGTCCCAACGTACGGAAGATGGCAAAATCCCGCCCCATGAAGTCTGCTGACGTCCCAGAATACAGCTCACCATCTGGAGGACAGGGGAGGAGGACACTATCAGATGTATGTGTGCACGTGTGTGTGTACGCTGCAATACGTGTTTTTGTGTGTGCGCATGTCAGTGTTTGTATGTCCTGTGTGTGTCTCATGACCTTTCGTGTACAGGTGTCAAGTGTCTGTATTAGTCTAGCAGGTACAGTATGGTGCCTGCAGGCTTAACAGTACAGGTAGAATGTGTTCTCACAAGGAACACCTTAATCTACCAGATAATGAACCCGAACAAGTAGGTGTGAAAGTCAGATTTAACTGGAAGAGACTCAGAGGGCCAGGTGGTTGCATTAAGAGAGCATAAAAGGAGGGAGGTGGATTAGAGAGAGAGAGAGAGAGAGAGAGAGAGATGGAGAGAGAGAGGAGAGGAGAGAGAGAGATAGAGAGATAGAGAGAGAGAGAGAAGAGATGAGATAAAGAGGCTCGAATAGAGAACTTCTCTCTAGCTCGAGGATACTCGCTCTAGAATTCTCTTATCTCCCTATCGCTTGCGCTCTATCAGTCTCCTCTCGCGCTAATCCGCGCCTTCTCTCTCTCTTCTCGCTCTCATCTGACGGCGTCGCGCGAGCTCTTCTTCTGCGCGTCTAGGCTCGCGAGAGAGAAGAGAATATAGAGAGAGATACTAGAGAGAAGATACGATGAGAGAGTAGACATAGTAGATAACGATAGAAGACCGGATAGAAAGAAAATGATGAGAGAGTAGAACGTCCCTCGCTTCTCATAGCTCTCTCTGGTTACTTCTAGAGAGAATGCTCTTCTAGGATTGATTCCTCGATAGTAGAGAGATACTGAGAGAGTATTAAGATGATCTATATTGAGTAATTACTTCATATAGAGAGAGAGAGAGAGAGGAGGAGATAAAGGGTGATGGAAAATGACCATCTGTTGGTTGGAGTGATGTGATGTCATATAGTATGACTGGTCCTGGTGATGAACCATGGTGAAGAAATGAAGCTGACACACACACACACACACACACACATCCACCACTCATAGGCTTGGAAATGAGTGGGTGTCCGCTGTAGATCACTCCTAATGATGAACACTATATATACCCAGCCCTGTCATTCACCCACTTCCTCTCAGCTGTAAATATGCTTAATGAATGAGTGGACATGAGAGAAGAGGTACAACTCCCTCTTTATGTGGTGAAAAGTTCTGGTGGAAATTAGTGCTTTAAATAAAAGTTCACTCACCGATGAGCTTGGACGCTGTGAGCAGCTTGGGGTCATAAGGGCTCTTCCCTCGACCATTCTCTATCAGGGGCTCCAGCCTGAACACACTGTCCTGTTACATAAGAAATAGGTTAAAATAAAGAGCATTTAGAATTCAGAGTTTATTGCATTGTCCTATTGACATCAACAAATGATGTTGGCGTCCTGGAAAAAACATAATCTAAATTTTTTCAGAATTAGATGTTTTACTTTCTCCTAGAGTCACTTTAACCAGGAGCCTCAGCCAGGGCAGTTAAGAGGGGAGACTGCTATTCTCAGAGCTATTCTCCCTCTCTAATTCTCTGGAAATGACTGCAGTCTAATGAATAGGAAACACATTTATAAGCCTGACTCATAGAGACATAGAACATACACGCGCACACACACACACGCACACGCGCACACATTCACACACACACACACACACACACACACACACACACACACACACACACACACACACACACACACACACACACACACACACACACACACACACACACACACACACACACACACACACACACACACACACACACACACACACACACACACACACAAGGCCATCAGTGAATCGTTACAAGTCAGATATTACCTCACACTCCACGGTTTATGATTTTAGATCGAAACTCAAAACCATAATCTCACATTTCAGTAAAGAGTTTTTCTTAACGCTGCTATCTAGCTGTAGCTCATTAGAAGACTTGAATCAGTCAGAACCATGACATGCCCACCACCACAGCTCATATTGGTCTGTAAGTAGTAGAATACTAGAGCTATAACTACAGTAAGCAGACAGATGTCTGGGCAGAAAGATAAATAAACGTGTGAATAGTGTAATACTGGTTGGTATACCTCTAGTTTCTTCCCCACCTCCAGGTAGGCACAGATAGGGTGGAAGGCTCCGGTTCCACATACATACAGATGGGTCTGGTTAAACGGCTGCAACACCTTGATGAAGTTAGAGCATTCCCTCTGGAGATAGAGAAAGAGAGACATTTTATATAGCATGGGTTTGCCAGGAGATCAACAGTTTCTGAAAACAACTAACATAAAGGATAAAGCTGTCTAAAGCTGTTGGGTCAAAACCCAGTCCTTTCCATTTGGGTCAAAACCCAGTCCTGTCCATTTGGGTCAAAACCCAGTCCTGCCCATTTGGGTCAAAACCCAGTCCTGCCCATTTGGGTCAAAACCCAATCTTGTCCATTTGGGTCAAAACCCAGTTTGTTCATCAGAAGCAGGCCCTCCTATAGAGCTGATCCGCTGGACAGAGAAAATAGTTAACCATCTCTGGACATAACACAACATCATGTAGAGCTATGCAGAACAACAAAAAACTTTAAATTGAGGGAATAAAGGGCAACTGTAATCAGAATTAATTGCCTGTCCTGTATAATATATAAGTAATTTTCCAGGAATATTTAGGAATTACCTGATCTACACATGAAGAACAATGTTGGGAAAAGGAAGAGCCCTGATTGGTTTTACTGTACAAATGACATCCTGGCCAGGCCAGCTCAGTGAGTCATGGATGTAGTGTTTTAGAGATAATCCAGACTGTTGTGCTGTGTAATAACTCAACAACTCGCTATTCAGATTGAGACCAGTAATCTGTCATTCTCAGTTTTCTCTTTTATTCTCTCCATCTCTCTCTTCTCTCTCCCTTTCCCTCTCCCCACATGTACTCATGACCTCTCCTATCCGGACTCCTGATCAGAAAGGCTCAGGTACATCTGAGTATTAAAACAGCCAGGATTTTTATGATGGACATCAACAGTAAGACGTTCAATGCAACAACTACCCTGCAACCAACCAGCTTACTGTGTTGTGTGTGTGTGTGTGTGTGTGTGTGTGTGTGTGTGTGTGTGTGTGTGTGTGTGTGTGTGTGTGTGTGTGTGTGTGTGTGTGTGTGTGTGTGTGTGTGTGTGTGTGTGTGTGTGTGTGTGTGTGTGTGTGTGTGTGTGTGTGTGTGTGTGTGTGTGTGTGTGTGTGTGCTTGCGTGTGTGCGTCTACATGCTGAGAAGCCAGTTTCCCCTGTGATCTGTCAGCACTTGCCTGAGCAGGCAGCAGGCCTGACCTCATATGAAAATGAATGTCATCACACTGATGGAAAAGGAGAAAACAGAACCACAAATAATGCATGACTAAGTTTATCTGTCTTTAGTAGGTCACCAACAGAAAGCAGCTCTGTTGATTGTGTATGCCTTGGTTGTCATCTGAAGAGCTGTCTGTCATTTCAGGGTGGTTCAGCTGGTTGGTGATCAGATAACGTTAAGGTTTCTCACGCTGTTGTGATTTGGATGGTGTTAAAGTTTCTTGTGATATCAAGTTTAACATTGTGAACCCATTGTCCAAACCATGCACTGAACCAACAGAGTTTATATGATGGAAGATACTTAACAGTTAGCGAAGCTAACAACATTATTTTTCCTGGCCCTGTGTATCACCCTCCCTTCTTCATAGATGTACAGTAAATTAGCAATTTCTTCTTCTATTCTTTTCTCTCTCTCCATCTCTCTTTCACTGTCTTCCCCGCGGCATGTTCACAAGTGTCTTTGTTCCAGTTCATCAAAGAGCATCTGTAGTCTTTCTTCCTCTCCTCTGCCCTTCAAACACAAAGACCATCCTTCAGGGCTCCCCGCTCATCTCTGCCAGAATGTTTACAGAAAACACACACACACACAAAAGACCTGATGGCCCTTCAAATCAGCCCTATAGAAACTCAGCAGAAGCTGACCCTGTGCCTGTGATCTTAGAGAGGCCGTTACAGCGGAGCTAGGATTTTATATTGCAGGCAGCACATGGCCCCAGGCTGTATCTGAGAGGAAAGTCAGAAGGAGAAAGATGGAACTGTGTCTCTTTGGGTGTTTACACAGTGTACTGCTTGTATTGAGACAGAAATACAGGACAAAAATACAGTACATGACTGAGCTAGTCATGCAAGCAGGACACACAGTATGGAAGTGCTGCTGGTATCGTCATGACTCTTCTTAGACTAAGGAAAACACACACCTAAATGATCTTGTGATATGCCATATGACTGTGTGGACTGAAATCGTGCTGCATTTACAACTAACAAATACCCCCATGTCTCTACAAAGCCATAGCTGTTGTTAGGATACTGCTCCTGTGTTGAAAGTAGTGACTGTAAGCCCATTGGCTGTTCACTGTTAACCCTGTATCCCAGTGGTTAGGTGAACTTCTAGATGATTAAGTTCATGTGATGTCTCTATCTTGGCCAGCAGATTATGATCAGATTCAGAGCTTCCTGTCCATGTGACAACACACAGATTAGACCAACACTGTACTGTAAAAGGCAGTACTCCGGGAGGGAGGGATAGTGTAAAAGGCAGTACTCCGGGAGGGAGGGATAGTGTAAAAGGCAGTACTCCGGGAGGGAGAGATAGTGTAAAAGGCAGTACTCCGGAAGGGAGGGATAGTGTAAAAGGCAGTACTATATGAGCGAGAGAGTGAAGTGTAAGATGAGGTAGCTACTCACCATGAGGTCCTTCCCTGCCCATTTACACTCATCTCTTCTGGAGGTGGAGGCAGGCCACGGGATCTACACAGACACAGAGAGATAAGGATACTTCACTACACAATACACATTGATACAATAAATCAGCCACTAGTAATCCTAACTTTAACCAGTCTCTAACCCTAACATCTTGACCAAGCAGCTGGTCAGCTAACAGTCCTTAAATTAGCTGTTGTGCTTCTGCCAGCAACGTTGCTAAAAATGTACTTTTGTGGGAGTTGGGGCATATTTTATGAGATTACGTTGATATGTGTGTGTGCCTGACCTATATATGTGCACGTATGTACAGTTGAAGTCGGAAGTTTACATACACTTAGGTTGGAGTCATTAAAACTCGTTTTTTAACCACTCCACACATTTCTTGTTAACAAACTATAGTTTTGGCAAGTCGGTTAGGACATCTACTTTGTGCATGACACAAGTAATTTTTCCAACAATTGTTTACAGACAGATTATTTCACTTATAATTCACTGTATCACAATTCCAGTGGGTCAGAAGTTTACATACAGTAAGTTGACTATGCCTTTAAACAGCTTGGAAAATTCAAAAAAATGATGTCATGGCTTTAGAAACTTCTGATAGGCTAATTGACATAATTTGAGTCAATTGGAGTTGTACCTGTGGATGTGTTTCAAGGCCTACCTTCAAACTCAGTGCCTCTTTGCTTGACATCATGGGAAAATCAAAATAAATCATCCAAGACCTCAGAAAAAAATTTGTAGACCTCCACAAGTCTGGTTCATCCTTGGGAGCAATTTCCAAATGCCTGAAGGTACTACGTTCATCTGTACAAACAATAGTACGCAAGTATAAACACCATGGGACCACGCAGCCGACATACCACTCAGGAAGGAGACGCGTTCTGTCTCCTAGAGATGAACGTACTTTGGTCCAAAAAGTGCAAATCAATCCCAGAACTACAGCAAAGGACCTTGTGAAGATGCTGGAGGAAACAGGTACAAAAGTGTCCATATCCACAGTAAAACAAGTCCTATATCGACATAACCTGAAAGGCCGTTCAGCAAGGAACATGCCACTGCTACAAAACCGCCATAAAAAAGCCAGACTACGGTTTGCAACTGCACATGGGGACAAAGATCATACTTTTTGGAGAAATGTCCTCTGGTCTGATGAAACAAAAATAGAACTGTTTGGCCATAATGACCATCGTTATGTTTGGAGGAAAAAGGGGAGGGGTTGCAAGTCGAAGAACACCATCCCAACCGTGAAGCACGGGGGTGGCAGCATCATGCTGTGGGGGTGCTTTGCTGCAGGAGGGACTGGTGCACTTCACAAAATAGATGGCATCATGAGGAAGGAAAGTTATGTGGATATATTGAAGCAACATCTCAAGACATCACTCAGGAAGTGAAAGCTTGGTCGCAAATGGGTCTTCCAAATGGACAATGACCCCAAGAATACTTCCAAAGTTGTTGCAAAATGGCTTAAGGACAACAAAGTCAAGGTATTGGAGTGGCCATCACAAAGCCCTGACCTCAATCCTATAGAACATTTGTGGGCAGAACTGAAAAAGTGTGTGTGAGCAAGGAGGCCTACAAACCTGATTCAGTTACACCAGCTCTGTCAGGAAGAATGGGACAAAATTCACCCAACTTTTTGTGGGAAGCTTGTGGAAGGCTACCCGAAACATTTGACCCAAGTTAAACAATTTAAAGGCAATGCTACCAAATGTTAATTGAGTGTATGTAAACTTCTGACCCACTGGGAATGTGATGAAAGAAATAAAAGCTGAAATAAATCATTCTCTCTACTATTATTCTGACATTTCACATTCTTAAAATAAAGTGGTGATCCTAACTGACCTAAGACAGGGAATTTTTACTACGTTTAAATGTCAGGAATTGTGAAAAACTGAGTTTAAATGTATTTGGCTAAGGTGTATGTAAACTTCCGATTTCAACTGTATATGTGTGTGGTGGGGGTGGAGGAGTCACAATGAGATTTGTTCTCCACTTTGTTTCCGTTTACTCTATTATTCATCCAGGTGTGCAGGGAGCGACTAACATGCCTGGCGCAGCGTGAGATCCTGTGCGACGGCTAAGGTCTGAATTATTCATCAGTAATTTCTCAGTAGAAACAGAGTCCCTGGATACCTGGCTGGGACTGGCTTAGACTGACAGGGGTTGGGGAAAGATATGCAGACAGACAGACAGACAGACTGCAAGTAGACTTGTATGTATACAGTGGGGAGAACAAGTATTTGATACACTGCCGATTTTGCAGGTTTTCCTACTTACAAAGCATGTAGAGGTCTGTAATTTTTTATCATTGGTACACTTCAACTGTAAGAGATGGAATCTAAAACAAAAATCCAGAAAATCACATTGTATGATTTTTAAGTAATTCATTTGCATTTTATTGCATGACATAAGTATTTGATACATAAGAAAAGCAGAACTTAATATTTGGTACAGAAACCTTTGTTTGCAATTACAGAGATCATATGTTTCCTGTAGGTCTTGACCAGGTTTGCACACACTGCAGCAGGGATTTTGGCTCACTCCTCCATACAGACCTTCTCCAGATCCTTCAGGTTTCGGGGCTGTCGCTGGGCAATACGGACTTTCAGCTCCCTCCAAAGATTTTCTATTGGGTTCAGGTCTGGAGACTGGCTAGGCCACTCCAGGACCTTGAGATGCTTCTTATGGAGCCACTCCTTAGTTGCCCTGGCTGTGTGTTTCAGGTCGTTGTCATGCTGGAAGACCCAGCCACGACCCATCTTCAATGCTCTTACTGAGGGAAGGAGGTTGTTGGCCAAGATCTCGCGATACATGGCCCCATCCATCCTCCCCTCAATACGGTGCAGTCGTCCTGTCCCCTTTGCAGAAAAGCATCCCCAAAGAATGATGTTTCCACCTCCATGCTTCACGGTTGGGATGGTGTTCTTGGGGTTGTACTCATCCTTCTTCTTCCTCCAAACACGGCGAGTGGAGTTTAGACCAAAAAGCTCTATTTTTGTCTCATCAGACCACATGACCTTCTCCCATTCCTCCTCTGGATCATCCAGATGGTCATTGGCAAACTTCAGACGGGCCTGGACATGCGCTGGCTTGAGCAGAGGGACCTTGCGTGCGCTGCAGGATTTTAATCCATGACGGCGTGGTTTGTTACTAATGGTTTTCTTTGAGACTGTGGTCCCAGCTCTCTTCAGGTCATTGACCAGGTCCTGACGTGTAGTTCTGGGCTGATCCCTCACCTTCCTCATGATCATTGATGCCCCACAAGGTGAGATCTTGCATGGAGCCCCAGACCGAGGGTGATTGACCGTCATCTTGAACTTCTTCCATTTTCTAATAATTGCGCCAACAGTTGTTACCTTCTCACCAAGCTGCCTGCCTATTGTCCTGTAGCCCATCCCAGCCTTGTGCAGGTCTACAATTTTATCCCTGATGTCCTTACACAGCTCTCTGGTCTTGGCCATTGTGGAGAGGTTGGAGTCTGTTTGATTGAGTGTGTGGACAGGTGTCTTTTATACAGGTAACGAGTTCAAACAGGTGCAGTTAATACAGGTAATGAGTGGAGAACAGGAGGGCTTCTTAAAGAAAAATGAACAGGTCTGTGAGAGCCGGAATTCTTACTGGTTGGTAGGTGATCAAATACTTATGTCATGCAATAAAATGCAAATTAATTACTTAAAAATCATACAATGTGATTTTCTAGATTTTTGTTTTAGATTCCGTATCTCACAGTTGAAGTGTACTTATGATAAAAATTACAGACCTCTACATGCTTTGTAAGTAGGAAAACCTGCAAAATCGGCAGTGTATCAAATACTTGTTCTCCCCACTGTAAGTGTGTTTCCATTTTCCATTTTAGTCATTTAGCAGACGCTCTTATCCAGAGCGACTTACAGTAGTGAGTGCATACATTTTCATATTTGTTCGTACTGTGTTGTATGTAAAAGTGTGTTGATATTTACCAAATGTAATTGTTACTGTTGCAAGGAGTCCGCTGATGTTGACTTGGTTATAATGTCTCATAGATAGGTATTCATGTATTATAAAATGTACAGTACCTGTGCCAGGTCTCTGCTGATGTTGACCAGGTTGAAGGAAAATATGTGGTCCTTGGCTCCCACCACCAAACGACCCTTCTCCTCGTCCAATAGGAACGTGTGGTAAGCGGCGCTATTGGCCAGGCCCTCAAACGTCATCAAGTTATTAGACTCCAACATCTCTGGAAAGGAGAACGGAGGGAGAGAGAGCATTGAACATTTACAATAAGAGACCATACTAATTCCTATGGTCTCTGATATACCCAGGGAAATAAATACATTAGACTAGAGAGAAATAAAGAGAGAGTGAATAAGGGAGACAGTGAAGTCCTGGCATACACAGCATCTAATGGCATCTTATAGCAGACATTGTGATGTGTCTCCTCAGTATATTCACCATGTCAGAGGGGAAACATCCCATTCCCACATGGAGACAGGCAGCAGGGTCCCCACTGGGCACAAACTGGTTGAATCAACGTTGTTTCCACGTCACTTCAATTAAATTACATTGAACCAACATGGAATGAATGTTGAATTGATGTCTGTGCTCAGTGGGTCTAGATCTCAACTCCAAAAGCCTAGGGAGCTACGAGAGAAAGAGAGAGAGAGAGAGAGAGAGAGAGAGAGAGAGAGAGAGAGAGAGAGAGAGAGAGAGAGAGAGAGAGAGAGAGAGAGAGAGAGAGAGAGAGAGAGAGAGGGTGCTTTGGCTCAGATTTAATATCTCTCTTTCGAGTGTGTTCTCTCTTACCCATTCACACATTCTCCCTCACACCCTCTTCCCCACATTAACTTGCGTTCAACAAAATGTTTTCTATGAATCAGCACTGCCATCCGTGCTTAGACTGTGTGGGCACTCGACAGTGCCAATGCCGAAGAGCCAACGACCAAATGGTCTGGCTAGGGGAACTGACCTTGACTGGGCCAGTCAAGCAGATCTAGACCACAGAACAAACCCACAGTGGAAAACGGAGACTATTCTCCATACAATATTATGACCAGCCAGTCTCAGTGTAGACACTGGTGAATTACTGCAAACCACAACAACCATGAGGTCATTTAAATTGTTGTATAAATAGCCAGCCCAGTGTTTTTGCTGTGTAATGCCTGGGTGCTTGAACAGGTTAGCCAAACAGAGCTAGACTATATAACTCACAATGGAAAACTGTTGGGAATATGAATATGTCACTGGAGTAAAAATAGCACAATAATGACTGTCTGGATGTCTGTTTTCCTGTAGGCTCTCGTGAAGAACTTCAAACCACTACAACAACAATGCAATATTTGAAAAATTTTAGTCTGAGGGGTGTTCTTTTGACTGCCATGGTTGGGAGTTACTGATTACATGTAATCTGATTTAAAAATATATATAATAATATAATATGCCATTTAGCAGACGCTTTTATCCAAAGCGACTTACAGTCATGCGTGCATAATTTTTTTTGTGTATGGGTGGTCCCGGGGATCGAACCCACTACCTTGGCGTTACAAGCGCCGTGCTCTACCAGCTGAGCTACAGAGGACCACGTAATCAGCTACAGAGGACCACGTATATAAACTGTAATCAGTTACATTACCAGCAAAAATATTTTTATCCGATTACAAATACTTTAGAAAAACTAGATGATTACTTATTGGATTACTTTTTAATTCATAAAGGATGTTTGTGGAAAATTACAACACCTTTCTGCTTTCTCAATTACATTGAATTCAGCGTTGAAAAAAGTTTACGTTTGTTCCACCTCAGCGAGAGACCACTATGATGACACACCAAATGCATTTGATGGAACCTTTTTGTCTTCTTCTAATGCCTTTTAAGGGGAAAGTAATCCAACAGTTTACTGAAAGTAATAGGATAACGTTACTGAGTTTGGGAAACCAAAATGTACGTTACTTATTCCAATTTTCGACAGGTAACTAGTAACTGTAATGGATTACATTTAGAAAGTTACCCAAATCTGTTTACCACTTTTGAGATGATACTGTCATCTTTATTTGGCGCCCAAATTGTTTCTCTCACACCTAAGCCTCTCTCACACAACATCTCTAACACACACACACATGTACGCAACACACACGTACCGACCCACATATGCACACACACACACCATTCCTTCTCACACTCTCTCCTCACCCAAAAAACCCAACCACACCCATCGCCCCCACCAGCTGACCCCCCTGCACGTGTGTGTGTGTGTGTGTGTGAGGGAGAGAGGGAAAGAGAGAAGGGTGAGGAATTATGAGGAAAAATTTTTAATGAAGGAGAGATGGGGCATGAGGGAAAGGTATTGTGAAACAAGTGAAAAAGCGGCAGTCAGGAGGAGGGAGGGAGAGAGAGAGGGAGAGACAGGGAGAGTGAGTGAGAGAGAGGGGGACAGGGAGAGAGTGTGTGAGAGAGAGGGGGACAGGGAGAGAGTGTGTGAGAGAGAGCCAGTAATGAAGTTACCACAGTGTAAAGTCTCTAAGGAACTGTTGAGATGAGTGTCTGTAACACTCTGTATTTCTGGGTGCCTCAGTCCCAACACTCTTTCCTCCTCTTTCTCTCTCTCTGTCTCTCTGTCTCTCTGTCTCTCTGTTTCTGTTTCTGTCTCTCTGTCTCTCTGTATATGTTTCTCTGTTTATCTATGTGTGTCTCTCCGTGTGTCTCTCTGTGTGTCTCTCTGTGTGTCTCTCTGTGTCTCTCTGTGTCTCTCTCTCTCTCTCTCTCTCTCTCTCTCTCTCTCTCTCTCTCTCTCTCTCTCTCTCTCTCTCTCTCTCTCTCTCTCTCCCCACAGACCAATGTGGTTTGACAGAGGCAGTATTGACACACTCCCTCCTCACTTATGGCTGGATGGAATATCTGTTTACTTCAGTCCTAGAAAAACATTCACACAGATGAACTAGAAAAACGTAGCCACTACGTATAACCATTGGTCTCATCTATCAGGAGGATGACAAATACATTAGATGGGAGGACAGGGCTCCAGATTGTTGGATTCCTGAGCAAGAATATTTTGTTTTTGTCAAATACGGTTTGTCCTGAAATAGTGACAGCCAACATGTGTGAGTGTTCTCTGGGGTGACATTAGTAATGTTCAGTGTGGCCATGTGTGTAATATCAGTATGTGGGGGTAGAGGTATAGCTCACTAGATACTATGTGGGGGTAGATGTATAGCTCACTAGACACTATGTGGGGTTAGAGGTATAGCTCACTAGACACTATGTGGGGGTAGATGTATAGCTCACTAGACACTATGTTGGGGTAGATGTATAGCTCACTAGACACTATGTGGGGGTAGAGGTATAGCTCACTAGACACCTATGTGGGGGTAGAGTATAGCTCACTAGACACTATGTGGGGGTATGTGGGGGTAGATGTATAGCTCACTAGACACTATGTGGGGGTAGATGTATAGCTCACTAGACACTATGTGGGGGTAGATGTATAGCTCACTAGACACTATGTGGGGGTAGATGTATAGCTCACTAGACACTATGTGGGGGTAGATGTATAGCTCACTAGACACTATGTGGGGGTAGATGTATAGCTCACTAGACACTATGTGGGGGTAGAGGTATAGCTCACTAGACACTATGTGGTGGTAGAGGTATAGCTCAGTAGACTCTGGAGCTGGCCAGTATACCGTATTTTACTATATACCAGTATTGGGTTTTTACTTTATCTTTATAACAGTATTAAATGTTTGGTTTGTTAAATGTGATATGTCTCTCCATTTCTCTCACCAAGCCCTGCCCTCTGTCGCTCAAGGAGCACAGTTGTTGTTGCTCAACCACAAGATAATTTGCCGACTGTTCACTCTTCATGGTCATGGTCAAGATGCAGTAATATGTTGATGACAACAATGTTGCTTCCACTTTGCTTCTTAATATAAATCCACAAGCGCTCTATAATTACACTATTAGTTTGTCTATCTTTCTGAGTCAGAGCAAACATAGCTAGATAATCCAGCCTGATACCAGTGCTGGTGTATGCCTAAATCAGCATGTTGTTTGTGCAACATTATCTTCTAAATCAGAGAGGAATAGGTGAAACATGAATATGTTAGCTATTACATGAAGTAAGGGAAAACATTTAATGTAGCCAAAGATTCTAGGGTCCCACTCGCCTGGGAAACACTGACCAACACTTTGGTTCCTACCCTGTCACAATAACGCCTCCAAAGAGATCCTATTAGTATTTTTATTCCTAATTCTATGAACGCCTCCTTGCCATTTTCATTCGTTGTCATGTCAATCAACACTGTATTCAAAGTGCCCACTATTACTTTCTAACTATAGAATTAGAATAATCATTCTATTTCCATGATTCCATCAGTTTACCCAAGTGTTTTGATCTAAATCGTAATTACAATATTTGGTAAATAATAAGGTCTAGATTTCTTGCCTATATATAGCATTCCTACGTGGCAGTATGGAACTTTTGGCTAAAGTTTGATTGCACTGTATAAAACAATCAGAATGGAGAAAGCCCCATTGAAATCGGAAAGTTTTCAGACCCCTTGACTTTTTCACATTTTGTTAGGTTACAGCCTTATTCTAAAATTGATTACATAGTTTTTTTCCTCAATCTACAAACAATACCCCATAATGACAAAGCAAAAACAGTTTTTTTGCTTCACCGTAGGGATGGTGCCACGTTTCCTCCAGACGTGAAGCTTGGCATTCAGGCCAAAGAGTTCAATCTTGGTTTCATCAGACCAGAGAATCTTGTTTCTCATGATCTGAGAGTCTGTAGGTGCCTTTTGGCAAACTCCAAGCCTTTTACTGAGGAGTGGCTTCAATCTGGCCACTCTAACATAAAGGCCTGATTGGTGGAGTGCTGCAGAGATGGTTGTCCTTCTGGAAGGTTCTCCCATCTCCACAGAGGAACTCTGGAGCTCTGTAAGAGTGACCATCGGGTTCTTGGTAACCTCCATGACCAAGGCCCTTCTCCCCTGATTGCTCAGTTTGGCCGGGCGGCCAGCACTAGGAAGAGTCTTGGTGGTTCCAAACTTCTTCCATTTAAGAATGATGTAGACCACTGTGTTCTTGGGGACCTTCAATGCAGCAGAAATGTTTTGGTACCCTTCCCCAGATCTGTGCCTCAACACAATCCTGTCTCAGTGCTCTACGGACAATTCCTTCGACCTCATGGCTTGGTTTTTGCTCTGACATGCACTGTCAACTGTGGGACAATGTATAGACAGGTGTGTACCTTTCCAAATCAATTGAATTTACCACAGGTGGACTCCAATCATGTTGTAGAAATATCTCATGGATGATCAGTGGAAACAGAATGCACCTGAGCTCAATTTCAAGTCTCATAGCAAAGGGTCTGAATACTTATGGAATTAAGGTATTTATGTTTTTTATTTGTAATAAATTTGCTACAATTTCCAAAAAACTGTTTTCGCTTTGTCATTATGGGGTATTGTGTGTAGATTGCTGAGGATTTGTATTAATTTAATCCATTTTAGAATAAGGCTGTAACGAAACAAAATGTGGAAAAAGTCAAGGGGTCTGAATACTTTCCGAAGGCACTGTAGAATTGTGTGTTGCCACCCTAGGGTCATGCACAACTCATAATGCAAATTTAGAACTTGTATTATTCAAAAACATTAAATACCGTCAAATACCATCAAACAGTCAAGAATGTGATTAAATATTGTGACATGATATTTTGTCCATATCGCTCAGCGCTAGTAGATTATATGTGGAGGTAGAGGTATGTCTCTGTAGACTAATGGGAATGTCCTGTTGATGTAATCCAGGTCACACCACAGTCATACATTACACTGTATATGTCTACAGCTGTCTGTGTTAAACCAACCAATCATCTACAGCCACCCTGAGACCTCTCTACAACCAATATACAGTACAACCCATCTGAAACCCCGGCCTCTACAACTAATCTGCATCCCAATGTGGGATTGGTAGTAGATCAAATCAAATCAAATTTTATTTGTCACATACACGTGTTTAGCAGATGTTATAGCGGGTGTAGCGAAATGCTTGTATGTATTAGTATGTGTGATAAAATTCAAACATTAGCTGGTGATAGGTTTCAAAGTGCTATATGATAAATCAACACCTTAGTGTGAAGTTGGTTGTTAGCTAAAGGTATATTCAAGTACTGTAATAAGGCATGAGAACCCAGGGATTATCCTGTGATAACTCCAGAGTAAGGGTTGTTCTTAGTTCCGAGGCGAAACCAAGGGTAAATCCCTGGTTCGATGGCCTTATTTATTTTATAAAACTATAATTCCCAGATTCGAGGAGCTTATTGCTTATATAAAACGGTTGCCAACATATATAAAAAAAAGATTAACGACATGTTTTAATTAAAACGTTAGTGAGTACATTTTTTATTTATTTAATCCTTCCACCAGACGATAGGGTCCGGGCAAAAACGAGTTGTTAGTTCTGAGGTTCTGAAGTTGCTAACCAAATAGGTTGGTTGTTAATATTACTGCAGTGGGCTGAATCAGGGTCACACAGCGTGTTTCTTGGTAGTCTTAAACAAAATTACTTTGAAACAAAAGTATACACCTCACACACATGGTTACAGGCTTAAAAAAAGAAGACAACTGTAACCATGCCAGATACAGAGTTGAAATGTTTATTAATTATGAAATAATGAAAAATATTTATAACATTCCACTCATGAGGCCACTAGAGGGTGCTTTGGTCATTTGACTGCAGGAAAGGGTTCTATTCTCATGTTTTGACCAATGATTTGTATATACACTAGATGGAAAACCAGGGGTGGTGTTTTGAAGCCATCCATCTTGGCACTCCCCCACATTTTCCTTAAAGTATACTTTTTGTAATGTTCTAATGTTACTGTCCCAACTACACTTGAAAAAGAAAAGGAAAGCCGCACACTCTAGGAGCTCAGATGCAATAATTTAATATCCTAATAACCAACGTTTCGACAGACAAGCTTTCTTCATCAAGGTATAATGACAAACACTGCGGGTCACTAGTTTATATAGTGTCAAAGGACACATGCAGGTGTCTGTAATCATGGTTGGGTGTGGCCTAATAGCATTGGTTAATTCACAGATAAACAGAACATACAAAAAACATGGATAGCATACGATCATAGATACAACTTGGCTACATAGGCCCACAAACATTTACAATGAATAGCAAAATCACAAGAATGGCTTCAAATCAAAGTCTACGTTGAGACCGAAGGGAGCAAGGGTCTTTAAATTAAAGATCCAGGCAGCCTCTCGTTTTAACAATAAGTTGTCGAGGTCACCCCCTCTCCTAGGGAGGGTGACATGTTCGATGCCGATATAAAGTAGGGATGAAATCGAGTGGTTCGCTTCCAAAATGTGGGCAGCGACTGGGTATGTAGAGTTTTTGCACCTAATGGTGCTACGATGCTCCGAGATTAGTACTTTTAATTCGCGCTTTGTTTTACCCACATAATGTTTACCACAAGAACAAGTTATAAGATAAATAACTGCCTTAGTGAAGCACGTAATAACACCTTTGATTGGGATCTGTTTCCCTGTTTGGGGGTGTTTAAAGGATCTACATTTGTAAGTGCCATTGCATTGAACGCAGCCGTTACACTTGTAGTTTCCATTGGGTAGAGGCGCAAATAGACATTGTGCAGGGATATTTAGGGGTGGTAAATCCGAGTTTACCAATTGATCTCTGAGGTTTCTGCCCCACGAGAATACAACCAAGTGAGGGTCTGAAAACACATTACCAATACTGTCATCGGATCTTACAATGTGCCAATGTTTGTGAACGATTCCCTTAATTTGTTCAGAGCACTTTGAATAGCGTGTAGTTTAGAATGCAAGAATGCTTCTTTTTGCGAGACTGTCCCTGATAGAGGTCAAGTCTCGATTTGTTTTGAATTTTCTCAATGGCAGTATTAATCTGACCATTTTTGTACCCCCTCTCCTTGAATTTTCTTTGCGTCGCAGCCATATTTCGGTTGATATCTGATTGTTTTTTACAAATCATTTTGATTCGACAGAATTGGCTGTAGGGCAAACTGTTTTTCAAGGGAAGCGGGTGACAACTATCAGCCCTCAACAAACTGTTACGATCAGTAGGTTTCCTGTAAAGATCAGTGTATAGAACATTATCCTCACACAAAATCAGAAGATCAAGGAAACTGATTTGACGTGTGTCAGATTGCATAGTAAATCTCAGGTGCTCAGAACAAGAGTTAAGAAAAGTATGGAATGCCTGGAGCTGTTTTAAATCACCCCTCCATAGAACAAAAAGTATCATCAAAGTACCGTTTCCATATATTTTTTTGGTTGAGAGGATTGAAAATGGACTGTTTCTCAATGTAACCCACATACAAATTAGCATAGTTAGAAGCCATAGGGGATCCCATAGCAGTACCCTTCGTCTGAATAAAGAAATCATTTAGAAACATGAAGTAGTTGTGTGTGAGTACTATTTCAGCCAATGTTATAATGCATGCACTGGAAGGTAGTTCATTTGGGTCACGTTTCAGAAGAAAATGTTCCATGGCTTCAATACTGCCCTCGTGTGGAATATTCGTATATAACGACTCAACATCAAAAGTAACTAGCAAGGTATTATCAAGAGATTCAATAATAGAGATCATACTGCTGGTGTCCTTTACAAAGGAGGGGAGCTGTTCTGTGAGAGGTCTAATAAAAATGTAAACAAAGGTTGATAAAGGGGCTGTTACTGCATCAATGCCCGCTACAATAGGGCGCCCTGGAGGTTTTGTAACATTCTTGTGTAATTTCGGCAAAGTATAGAAAGTGGCAATTTTAGGATGTTGAATAGCCAAAAAATCGTGTTCTTTTTTGGTGATTTGACCAGAACTTAAATACCCATCTAGGACAGTAAAGATAGTGTTCTGGAAATTGGGAAGTGGGGTCACTTCTGAGTTCCTTGTAAAAAGGTGTTGTCAAGCAGTTGTCTGTGACACTCATTTACATAAACTGTCCTATCCATGAGTACAACCAACCCACCCTTATCAGCAGGATGGGTAAGAACTGACATATCGGATTGTAAATCAAGCAAAGCTTATTTTTCATCCTTGGGTAATTTTGAAAAGATATGTACTCCTGTTTTTTCTTAAGGAGATCATCAACATATTTTTCAACGAGTCTGCAATATGTCTCAATAGAGTGATTGCGATTGGCTGGAGGTACAAAATAACTCTTACTGTCCCCACTACAACAACAAAAATACTTAAATACATGTAATTTTGTCCTTGAAACATTTAATTGTATTCATTCCTATGGAGGACTGCTTCTTCTGGGAAGTGCAGGTGTCTTCAAAACCTCTCATTGGCCAATACATAGCATTAGAAATCCAGGGTTTATGTACCAGCATGGTCACCCGTGATACAAGTCAGTATTTGACATCCATCCTGTCTGAGGCTGTCGGGAGATTATGTGAGAACTGGCCACTAGGGTGCAACAGTGAGCGCTGTTACCTTCAAGTAGGTTTCGGTTTTGCTTGGGTGGGGCATAAGCATCTGCCTCTCATTCCAAAGGTTGCAAGTTTGAATCCAGCAATATAAAGTTATTTTTGTTTTAAGCCTATCCCAAACCTTAACCCTTACCTTAACCATTCAGAGTAAATGCCTAACCGTAACAATTCGGAGTTAATGCCTGAACTTATCCCTAACCTTAAAAATGTGGAGTTAATGCCTAAACTTGAAATTTGACATTTGGAACAACTTTGAAATTTGACTTTTGAGAAACATTAGAAACATCTAATTCTGACCGGAGATTGTGAGAGCTAGTAGCATAATTGGTTTTGACCCAGTCTTTCACTCTATTCCTTTTATTCATTTCACGTTGCTATGCTAAATAAATCATTGACATGTAGCTAGCTAGCAGAGGTTCAATGATGACGAGAGACAAGAACTTCAATAAATAATGATTTAATAAATCATTTATAAAATAAGCAACAAACAGCTGATTGTCGAGTCAATAAGATAGCGGAGGAGATGGCTATCGTTTTATGGGCTCCTAACCAATTGTGCTTTTTTGTGTATTTTTTTCGTGTTGTTTGTAACTTATTCTGTATATAATGTTTCTGCCACTGTCTCTAATGACCGAAAAGAGCTTTTGGATATCAGAACAGTGATTACTCACCTCGAACTGGATGAAGATTCTTTCTTTAATTTTACGTTTTACATTTTAGTCATTTAGCAAATGCTCTTATCCAGAGCGACTTACAGTTAGTGAGTGCATACATTTTTCATAAATTTTTCAGATTTACTGCTGATACTGGACCAGGCCCAAATCCCCGTCATTCGCATGAAGAAGAGAAGCCGATACAGGGGACGCATGTCCGGGTGCCTTGTTAGAATTTGTCGGCGAGTGGGTAACCCGCCTCTACTATCCGTCCTAGTGGCCAACGTTCAATCATTAGAGAATAAACTGAATGAGCTCCGTTCAAGACTATCCTACCAACGGGACATTAAAAACAATAATATCTTATGTTTCACCGAGTCGTGGCTGGATAATATACAGTTGGCTGGGTTTTCAGTGCATCGGCAAGACAGAACAGCTGCCTCCGGTAAGACAAGGGGTGGAGGCCTGTGTCTATTTGTCAATAACAGCTGGTGCGCGAAATCTAATATTAAGGAAGTCTCTAGGTTTTGCTCGCATGAGGTAGAGTATCTCATGATAAGCTGTAGACCACACTATTTATCAAGAGAGTTTTCATCTATATTTTTCGTAGCTGTCTATTTACCACCACAAACCGATGCTGGCACTAATGACGCACTCAACGAGCTGTATAAGGCCATAAGCAAACAAGAAAATGCTCATCCAAAGGTGGCGCTCCTAGTGGCCGGGGACTTTAATGCAGTGAAACTTAAATCCGTTTTACCTCATTTCTACCAGCATGTTACATGTGCAACCAGAGGCAAAAAAACTCTAGACCACCTTTACTCCACACACAGAGACGCGTACAACGGTCTCCCTTGCCCTCCATTTGGAAAATAAGACCATCATTCTATCCTCCTGATTCTTGCTTAAAAGCAAAAACTAAAGCAGGAAGTACCAGTGACTCGCTCAATACGGAAGTGGTCAGATGACGCAGATGCTAAGCTACAGGACTGTTTTTCTAGCATAGACTGGAATATGTTCTGGGATTCATTCGATGGCATTGAGGAGTATACCATATGAGTCACTGGCTTCATCAATAAGTGCATCGATGACGTCGTCCCCACAGTGACCGTACGTACTCCAACCAGAAGACATGGATGACAGGCAACATCCGCACTGAGATAAAGGGTAGAGCTGCCGCTTTCAAGGAGCGGGACTCTAACCCAGACGCTTATAAGAAATCCTGGTATGCCCTCCGACGAACCATCAAACAGGCAAGCGTCAATACAGGACTAAGATTGAATCCTACTACACCGGCTCCGACGCTCGCTTGCAAACTATTACGGACTACAAAGGGAAGCCCAGCCAAGAGCTGCCCAGTGACATGAGCCTACCAGATGAGCTATATGACTTCTATGTGCGCTTCAAGGCAAGCAACACTAAAGCATGCATGAGAGCGCCAGCTGTTCCGGACGACTGTGTGATCACGCTCTCCGTAGCTGATTTGAGTAAGATCTTTAAACAGGTCAACATTCACAAGGCACAGACAGATTACCAGGATGTGTACTCCGAGCATGCGCTGACCAACTGGCAAGTGTAATTTTCAACCTTTTCCTGACCGAGTCTTTAATACCTACATGTTTCAAGCAGACCACCATAGTCCCTGTGCCCAAGGACACAAAGGTAACCTGCCTCAATGACTACCGACCAGTAGCACTCATGTCTGTAGCCATGAAGTGCTTTGAAAGGCTGGTCATGGCTCACATCTACACCATCATCCCAGAAACCCTAGACCCACTCCAATTTGCATACCGCCCCAACAGATCCACAGATGACGCAATCTCTATTGCACTCCACACTGCCCTATCCCACCTGGACAAAAGGAAACCTATATGCAAATGCTGTTCATTGACTACAGCTCAGCGTTAAACAACAAAGTGTCCACAAAGCTCATCACTAAGCTAAGGACCCTGGGACTAAACACCTCCCTCTGCAACTGGATACTGGACTTCCTGACGGGCCGCCCCCAGGTGGTAAGGGTAGACAACAACACATCTGTTACGCTGATCCTCAACACGGGGGTCCCTCAGGGGTGCATGCTTAGTCCCCTCCTGTACTCTCTGTTCACCCATGACTGCGTGGGCAAGCACGACTCCAACACCATCATTAAGTTTGCTGACGACACAACGGTGGTAGGTCTAATCACCGACAACGATGAGACAGCCTATAGGAAGGAGGTCAGAGACCTGGCAGTGTGGTGCCAGGACAACAACCTCTCCCTCAACATGATCAAGACAAAGGAGATGTTTATTATCTATACATAGTTACTTTACCCTTATCTACATGCACATATTTCCTCAATTACCTCAACTAACCTGTGCCCCCACACATTGACTTGGTACCGGTACCCCCTGTATATAGCCTCGTTATTGTTATTTTATTTTTACTTTAGTTCATTAATAAATATTTTCTTAACTCTTATTTTTCTTAAAACTGCATTGTTGGTTAAGGGCTTGTAAGTAAGCATTTCACGGTAAGGTCTACACCTGTTGTATTCGGCGCATGTGACAAAAACAATTTGATTTGATTTGAGAGCTATTGAGGAAGGCTAGGCTAACATTACCTGTCTTTTATATCCATTATAATATACAATACAAATTAAGTGAATAAATTGATTGGCTGAGCTGTGGGACAGTGGATGCGCATTGATAAATCTAATGGAACTGTTATCAGGCGTTACCCGTTGAATGCGGAGATTGTGGTGCTATAACTCCCTGCTATCAACCAATCATCATCCAGAATCTAAACAACCCGTTTCATAATCTTTGTAATAAATTGAAACGTTCATTAGTGACTGGGTCCTGATCGCCACATGATGATGTAGTATGGATTATATTTCTTTGGATATATACTTTCTTTCTTTCTTTCTTTTTTTATTTCTTTCTTGGAATAAATAACCGTGTACATCATTAATGTTTCAGCAGGGAAAATGCTGTGTTTTTATGTCAGAAGCCCTGAGAGGGAGGGAAGAGGGAGGAGAAGGGAAGGGAGACGGGGGAGGAAAAAGGGAGGGAAGTGGGGTAAATAAGAAAAAAGAGAGATGGACATGCAGCACAAAAAAAGGCAATGCAAGGGAAAATGTGCAAATGGAGGAGAAAGATGAGAGTGACAGAGTAAGAGAGGGAGGAAGGGAGAAAGAAAGAGAGAGGGGGGAGAGAGAGAGACCTCCTACTTCTAGTTAGAAACAGATTCCCTCAAGTGCCCTCAATTCTGCTCTGTCACAAACACACCAGAGCTCCCACACACCCTCTCCCACACACAGCCCAGCACTATTCCCCTCAGCCGCAAACACACACAAACACACACACGCACGCACACACGCACGCACGCATGCATGCACACACACCCACACACACACACACACACACACACACACACACACACACACACAAACATACACACACACACGCACACACACACACACACACACGCACGCACGCACGCACGCACGCACACACACACACACACACAAACACACACACGCACGCACGCACGCACACACACGCACGCACGCACGCACGCACGCACGCACACACACACACACAAACATACACACACACAAACAAAGAGACAGGTGTGTGTTACTGTAATCCTACTGTGTATGCTATCCACCATGTGAAAAGGAAACAGCTGATTGCCTAGAGCCCATACTGCTTGTTGTATTAACAGTGGTGTGTCAGACATGTAGAAAGCCAGTCTGGAAATCACCATGTCAACACACACCACACACAGCTCAGGTGAGTGTGTGTGTTTGTTTGGGACTAGCGTCCATGGAAACCATCCATTCACCAGAGTATTGTGAGATTATACAAATAAATGGATACATTCTGACACACACACACACACACACACACACACACACACACACACACACACACACACACACACACACACACACACACACACACACACACACACATACACACACACACACACACTCACACACACTCACATGCTCAAGCTCATGTGGATGCACACAATATTTTATATTGCTTTGAATATTTAAATATCTGAAATCAGCCATGTTAGAGACTCTGATCTGTAACCTCCTGGTCAGAAACAACTCCTAGCCCTATTGTTCACCCCTATCTGCATATGGGCTAATTTGGACAGAGACAGACAGGCAGCCTTTTCTTTCCATGCGCTATCCATGTTACCCCTCACCCAAACTATCTATTTTTTCCTCTCTCTCTTTTCTCTCTTTCTCCAGTCACTTACTGTATCTCTTCCCCTCCTTTTTCATCCTCAACCTTCTTCTTCTATCTCTCTCTCTCTCTCTCTCTCTCTCTCTCTCTCTCTCTCTCTCTCTCTCTCTCTCTCTCTCTCTCTCTCTCTCTCTCTCTCTCTCTCTCTCTCTCTCTCTCTCTCTGTTAGGACACAGCTTTATTTTATTATAATGGATCTTAGGTGGAGTGAGTGAGAGAGGAAAGGGCGGGGGAAAATGGATGCAAAAAATCAACAGTCCCATGTGAGACCGATATAAATAAACTATTTTACCCTACATTCTCTCTTTCTCTCTCTCTTTCTTGCTCTCTCACTCTCTCTTTCTCTCTCTCTCTCTCACACTCTATTTCTCTCTCTCTCTAACTCTCTCTTTCTGGGCTGGAGGGCATGGGAGTGTTATTTAGTGCTGCCATAGAAAACATCAGAAACACATCTAAACAACAAAACATATGAGCCAGTATTGTATGGAGCCCTATATCTCAAGGCCTTGTTCCTATAGTCGGTGACAAGAGATAAAGCATCTCCTGATCATTTCAACAAACAGACTCCAGAGCCCTTAAAGAGTTTGGCATTCGACTAGCCATGTGCAACATGCCTGCTAGCTGCTAGAGTTACAAGCCTGCTAGAGTTACAAGCCTGCTAGAGTTACAAGCCTGCTAGAGTTACAAGCTAGAGTTACAAGCCTGCTAGAGTTACAAGCTAGAGTTACAAGCCTGCTAGAGTTACAAGCCTGCTAGAGTTACAAGCCTGCTAGAGTTACAAGCCTGCTAGAGTTACAAGCCTGCTAGAGTTACAAGCCTGCTAGAGTTACAAGCTAGAGTTACAAGCCTGCTAGAGTTACAAGCTAGAGTTACAAGCCTGCTAGAGTTACAAGCCTGCTAGAGTTACAAGCCTGCTAGAGTTACAAGCCTGCTAGAGTTACAAGCCTGCTAGAGGCGGATGAGCAATATCCCCCATCGTAGCATGGATGAAGCCTGAGCTGGAATGTGAAGCTAACTGAAGCAGGCTGGTTTCAGAAAACCCTGAGTAGATCTAGTTTCCTTCATAGTATACCCTTCAGGTTATGTCTTGCTGTCTGGGGGGGGGGGGGGGGGGGGGGGGGGTGGAGTGTTCTAGATGCTGCAATACCATCACATTAGTCACTGTCCACAACACCACACACACACGTCTTTCAGCATGTATACAGTATAGAACATGATCTGTCTCTGTGGGATACTGATGGGTAAAGCTTACACAAATAAATACATAATCGTCTGAATAGGTTAAAAAAAAACCTGGAGATTTCACACAATCACAACAAATTCTTGTCTGCATGGTTGGGATGTGCAGAGAGGCATGTCCGTGTAATACAGTTCCACCCCCACTCCAGTGTTTGTGTGATACTGACCTATGGAGAAAACCCTCTGTCTCACACACACAGAGAGAAACCCAACCCTGGTCTCTAGATTCTCTAAATACTTATGGATTAAACATTTTAAAAGAACCTTCCTCATTCCATGCCCTGATAAAAAGTCTATTCACACCCAGTCAAAGCCAGAGGATAACATTACTACAATAAGATGTGCATGACCTCAGGAGTAGAGAGAGATGGATAGAGAAAATGAGGGAGAGAGAGAGTTTTTTTTTTCTATCGGCAATTCAGTGGCTTTTGTTTTTGTGGGGTTAGACCTTGACTGGTGTTGTTCAGTGGTTTAGTGCTTTAAACATCGGCTTTTGTTTTTGTGGGGTTAGACCTTGGCTGGTGCTGCTGGTGTTTCAGTATGCTGTATGAGAGTATATGTGGGTCTTGGATGCGGGTATCAAAGGGGTGGACAGGTCTGACAGAGACAGAGCTCCTGGAAGTCCCTCACCAGCCATTAAAGTAAAGTACCCTTTATTTCACTCTCCTTCCCTCTCATTTCTTCTCCTTCAAACTCTTTTGTTTTCTCTTCCTCTAGTTCCCAGACACTTAACAATATCTCCCCCCCACTTTTCCTAGCTAGGACACATGTATGACATACTGTACAGCTAAGCTTAAATTCCTATGTCCCTGGCAGCGTACAGAAACCCATTAAAACCACACCTCAGACGACCAGCAATACATCTTGGTCTATCCTGTTCCTGTACTGCCCTGTAGTCCTGTAGTCCTATAGTCATGCTCTTGTTACAGTTGGACCTGGTGGGTTCATGTTTAGGTAAGCAGGCCATTGTTACCATCCCACCATGCTCCCCGTCCCCTTCCCTACTGCCCTGTCCTACTGCCCTGTCCTACTGCCCTCTGCAGTTGGGGTTAGGATGTGAGGGAGGTAGTTGGGGGGTTAACAGGGGATTCCCCCCCATGTCTCTGCCCTGCTGTGCTAATGTGTGTGTGTGTTTGTTTGTGTGTGTGTGTGTGTGCGTGTGCGTGTGCGTGTGTGTGAGTGTGAGTGTAAGTGTGAGTGTGCGTGTGTGAGTGTGTGTGTGTGTGTGCTGAGTGCCACCTGTAGGGATCAGGGTTCCTACACCTGCCGGACCTGTCTGTCACAGAGAACAGACCTTGGCAACAACCAACCCCACACTCAGAAGCCACACACACATACAGACACACACACCTCACATCTCACTCCACAAATGTTTAGCAATGCCAAACATTAATTTAGCTTTTATCCACAGCTGTATGTAAGCCTATATTCATCATTGAAAACTCAGTATGAACGGGTCCATATCAGAGACTGTCTCTCTACCCTGTGTTCTGTGCAGGTCTGCTGTATGTGTGTTGTTCCATCCATGTAGTTCAGCTGTGTTGTGTATGTGTAGTGCTGTGGTCTAGTAGAGAAATCACAGAGGGCGTGATTTAGAGATGACTGATACACACACACACAGGTATCATTATCTACTGATGGCCAACGTGTGTGTGAGTGTGCGTGTGTGTGTGTGAGAGATAGAGACTGCATGCGTGTGTGTATGTGTGTGTCTGTGTGAGTATGTGCTCATGCGCGTGTATAATTATGATTGTGGTGGTGCTGAGAAAGAAATGTCTCTGTTTAAGAGAGCCATCTGTTGAGACAGACTCACACCATTCATCCTCAACATAATTACCATGCAGGGAACGACAGAGCAGAAAAAACGGCAACCAGGAATACGAGAGGGAGAGAGGGATAGACAGATGAACGATACTTCACTTAAGCACTGGCGAGTCACTCTGGCATGTCTCTTCATTAACAAACTGACAACAGTAGACAGCAGAGAGTACTGTACACTCACACACATTGCTGAGTCAAAGAGAATTTGAGAGTCAAAGACAAATTGAATCCTTGGTTTTCATCTGAGTTACAGTGCCTTGCAAAAGTATTCGTCCCCCTTGGCATTTTTCCTATTTTGTTCCATTACAACCTGTCATTTAAATTGATTTTTATTTGGATTTCATGTAATGGACATACACAAAATAGTCCAAATTGGTGAAGTGCTTTTTATTTGAGAGAAACGGTGGTGTAGTTGACCCTGCTCAGCTCTTCTCTTCTCTCTGCCAGCCTATAGCTGACTCAATGGTTAACCCGTCAACTTCTAGTGAATCTTTGTTTTCATTTTAACAATTTACTATCTGTGATGTGCTAGATCCCTTGCTTAAGATTGAAGTAAAACATCCACTGGGGCTGATGTGCTTGATCCATTTTTGTTGCAACTCTCTGCTCCCCTGATTGCTGAATCATTAACCCATATTTTTATCCTGACGATTATATCTGGTACTATCCCCAAGGTTTGGAAGGCGGCCCATGTACTCCCATTTCCCAAAGGTGGTGACCCTTGTGACCTAAATAATTATCGGCCTATTTCTAAACTATCTTGCCTAGCAAAAATATTAGAATCTTTGATTAATTCTCAGCTAAGATCTTTCTTATCTTTGAAACGATTTCTGTAAGTCTTCACAAGGTTTTCACACACTGTTGCTGGTATTTTGGCCCATTCCTTCCATGCAGATCTCCTCTAGAGCAGTGATGTTTTGGGGCTGTCGCTGGGCAACACAGACTTTCAATTCCCTCCAAAGATTTTCTATGGGGTTGAGATCTGGAGACTAGCTAGGCCACTCCAGGACCTTGAAATCTTTCTTACGAAGCCACTCCTTCATTGCCCGGGCGGTGTATTTGGGATCATTGTCATGCTGAAAGACCCAGCCACGTTTCCTCTTCAATGCCCTTGCTGATGGAAGGAGGTTTTCACTCAAAATCTCACAATACATGGCCCCATTCATTCTTTCCTTTACACGGATCAGTCGTCCTGGTTCCTTTGCAGAAAAACAGCCCCAAAGCATGATGTTTCCACCCCCATGCTTCACAGTAGGTATGGTGTTCTTTGGATGCAACTCAGCATTCTTTGTCCTCCAAACACGACGAGTTGAGTTTTTACCAAAAAGTTATATTTTGGTTTCATCTGACCATATGACATTCTCCCAATCCTCTTCTGGATCATCCAAATGCACTCTAGCTAACTTCAGACGGGCCTGGACATGTACTGGCTTAAGCAGGGGGACACGTCTGGCACTGCAGGATTTGAGTCCCTGGCGGCGTAGTGTGTTACTGATGGTAGGCTTTGTTACTTTGGTCCCAGCTCTCTATGGTCATTCACTAGGTCCAACCGTGTGGTTCTGGGATTTTTTCTCACCGTTCTTGTGATCATTTTGACCCCACGGGGTGAGATCTTGCGTGGAGCCCCAGATCGAGGGAGATTATCAGTGGTCTTGTATGTCTTCCATTTCCTAATAATTGCTCCCACAGTTGATTTCTTCAAACCAAGCTGCTTACCTATTGCAGATTCAGTCTTCCCAGCCTGGTGCAGGTCTACCATTTTGTTTCTGGTGTCCTTTGACAGCTCTTTGGTCTTGGCCATAGTGGAGTTTGGAGTGTGACTGTTTGAGGTTGTGGACAGGTGTCTTTTATACTGATAACAAATTCAAACAGGTGCCATTAATACAGGTAACGAGTGGAGGACAGAGGAGCCTCTTAAAGAAGAAGTTACAGGTCTGTGAGAGCCAGAAATCTTGCTTGTTTGTAGGTGACCAAATACTTATTTTCCACCATAATTTGCAAATAAATTCATTAAAAATCCTACAATGTGATTTTCTGCAATTTTTTTTCTAAATTTGTCTGTCATAGTTGACGTGTACCTATGATGAAAATTACAGGCCTCTCTCATCTTTTTAAGTGGGAGAACTTGCACAATTGGTGGCTGACTAAATACTTTTTTCCCCCACTGTATCTGCTGCATCCCTAGTTATAAATGACGTGGTTAACTGTATGGATAAAAGGCAACATTGTGCTGCCCTCTTCATTGACCTGTCAAAGGCTTTTGATACTGTTGCTCACTCACTGCTAATTCAGAGGCTTTCTTCAATTGGCCTACACCAGGCTGCAAGTAACTGATTTAAAAATTACATGACAGATAGAACTCAATGTATATCTACTGATGGATATTACTAAAGATGTCCTGCAGGGGTCGGTTCTGGGTACTGTACTTTTAACTGTTTACATTAACAATATCGACTTGTCTGTAAAAAATTGTAACTTGCACTTGTATAACAATGATACTGTTGTGTATGCTATTGCCCCCACTGTTGATCATGGCATGTCTGAATTACAGTCTGCCTTCATTGTAATACAGAAAAACTTTACTGACCTGAAATTAGTACTGAATGTAAAACTAAGTATATGTTGTTCTCTAGAGAGCATAAAAATAAGTCTGATGATTTAAGCATATGTACTTTGGATGGTGTCCATGTTGATCGTGCCCTTCCTTACAAAAATCTGGGCATCTGGATAGATGAAAAGCTGTGTTTTAAAAAGCATATTGATGAGTTAGTTAAGAAGCTGAGAATAACAATGGGCTTCTTCTATAGAAATAGATCCTGCCTCTCGCTAAATAGTAGAAAGCAGATTATTCAGTTGACGTTCCTAGTGATCCTAGTCTATGGCGACATAATCTACAGTTGAAGTCGGAAGTTTACATACACCTTAGCCAAATACATTTAAACTCAGTTTTTCACAATTCCTGACATATAATCCTAGTAAAAATTCCCTGTTTTGGGTCAGTTAGGATTACCACTTCATTGTAAGAATGTGAAATGTTAGAATAATAGTAGAGAGAATGATTTATTTCAGCTTTTATTTCTTTCATCACATTCCCAGTGGGTCAGAAGTTTACATACACTCAATTAGTATTTGGTAGCATTGCCTTCATATTGCTTAACTTGGGTCAAACGTTTCGGGTAGCCTTCCACAAGCTTCCCACAATAAGTTGGGTGAATTTTGGCCAATTCCTCCTGACAGAGCTGATGTAACTGAGTCAGGTTCCTGTTCAGTCATTGTCACTTTTGGACTTCACGTATCGTCATTTGGTTTTGTTGTTTTCGTGGTTGCTTTATTTAATAAAGTCAACATGTTCGCTACAAACGCTGCGCTTTGGTCCGCTTCCTTAGACGATCGTGACGGAAAAACCCACCAAGATGGGACCAAGCAGCGTGTCCAGGAGCCATCGCCAGGGAGATCCCTCACAGATCTCCTTCGCCTCCTGGACTGGGTCAAGCCGAGGGAGGAAGACAAGGGCTTGACGTTATGGCAGAAGGGCGAGAAACTGGCGAGGGATATGGAGAAGTGGTCCACGGGTAGGAGAGACGCCCCAAAATTTTTTAGGGGGGGGCTCACGACGGCGGACCAGCAGGAGGCCGCGATAGAGCGGTCCAGTGGGTTGCCGGAGAAGGCCGCCGGGTTACGGGGGCCACTGGTAGAAGAGGGGATGGAAGGTGTGGAGGCACGGCGAGAGGTACTGGCGTGTGTTGCCAGTCCGGTCCGGCCCGTTCCAGAGCCCGGTGTAGAACCAGTGGTGTGTGTCCCCAGTACGGTCCGGTCTATTCCTGCTCCCCGCATCGAACCTGCGGTGCGCATCGCCAGCCCAGTCCGGCCCATTCCTGCTCCCCGCATCAAGTCTGTGGTGCGTCTCGTCAGCCCGGCTCTGCCCGTTCCTACTCCCCGCACCAGGTCGGGGGTACGCATCGCCAGCCCGGTCCGGCCCATTCCTGCTCTCCGCGCCAAGTCTGTGGTGCGCGTCGCCAGCCCTGTCCGGCCCGTTTCTGCTCTCCACACCAAGTCTGTGGTGCGCGTCGCCAGCCCAGTCCGGCCCATCCAAGCTCCCCGCACCAGGTCAGTGGTGCGCGTCGTCAGCCCGGTCCGGCTCAGTCCTGCTCCCCGCACCAGGTCAGTGGTGCGCGTCGTCAGCCTGGTCCAGCCCGTTCCTGCTACTCGCACCAAACCAGGGATGCGAGTCGTCAGCCTGGTCCAGCTCGTTCCTCCTACACGCACCAAGCCAGGGGCGCGTGTCGTCAGTCCGGCTCCGACCAGCGGGGCTAGACAGGACCAGGGGTACTTTGGGGGGTTGAAGAGGAGGTGGGGATCAGGGCCGGAGCCAGAACCACCGCCGAGGAGGTATGCCCACCCAGCCCTCCCTTGTTTAGCCTTATTGAGGCGCGGTCGCAGTCCGCGCCTTTAGGGGGGGGTACTGTTACGCTCTGGCTCCGGGACTTTGTGTGTTGAGCCAGGGTGTGTTCGTTTCGTGGTGTTTTGTTTGGTTGGGTGGTTCTATGTGTTGTATTTCTTTGTTTGGTTGAGTGACTCCCAATCAGAGGTAACGAGTGTCAGCTGTTGGCTCGTTGTCTCTGATTGGGAGCCATATTTATACTGTCTGTTTTCACCTTGTGTTTGTGGGTTTTTGTTCCTGTTCAGTCATTGTCACTTTTGGACTTCACGTATCGTCATTTGGTTTTGTTGTTTTCGTGGTTGCTTTATTTAATAAAGAGGCCTCCTTGCTCGCACACGCTTTTTCAGTTCTGCCCACAAATGTTCTATGGGATTGAGGTCAGGGCTTTGTGATGGCCACTCCAGTACCTTGACTTTGTTGTCCTTAAACCAGTTTGTCACAACTTTGGAAGTATGCTTGGGGTCATTGTCCATTTGAAAGACCCATTTGCGACCAAGCTTTAACTTCTTGACTGATGTCTTGAGATGTTGCTTCAATATATCCACATAACTTTCCTTCCTCATGATGCCATCTATTTTGTGAAGTGCACCAGTCCCTCCTGCAGCAAATAACCCCCACAGCATGATGCTGCCACCCCGTGCTTCACGGTTGGGATGGTGTTCTTCGGCTTGCAAGCCAGCCCCCTTTTTCCTCCAAACATAATGATGGTCATTATGGCCAAACAGTTCTATTTTTGTTTCATCAGACCAGAGGACATTTCTCCAAGAAGTACGATCTTTGCCCCCATGTGCAGTTGCAAACCGTTGTCTGGCTATTTTATGGCGGTTTTGGAGCAGTGGCTTCTTCCTTGCTGAGCGGCCTTTCAGGTTATGTCGATATAGGACTCGTTCTACTGTGGATATAAATACTTGTGTCCTGTTTCCTCCAGCATCTTCACAAGGTCCTTTGCTGTTGTTCTGGGATTGATTTGCACTTTTTGCACCAAAGTACGTTCATCTCTAGGAGACAGAACGTGTCTCCTTCCTGAGCGGTATGACGGCTGCGTGGTCCCATGATGTTTACACTTGCGTACTATTGTTTGTACAGATGAACGTAGTACCTTCAGGCATTTGGAAATTGCTCCCAAGGATGAACCAGACTTGTGGAGGTCTCCAAATTCAAAAACTCTTGGCTGATTTCTTTTGATTTTCCCATGATGTCAAGCAAAGAGGCACTGAGTTTGAAGGTAGGCCTTGAAATACATCCAGAGGTACACCTCCAATTGACTCAAATGATGTCAATTAGCCTATCAGAATCTTCTAAAGCCATGACATCATTTTCTGGAATTTTCCAAGCTGTTTAAAGGCACAGTCAACTTAGTGTATATAAACTTCTGACCCACTGGAATTGTGATACAGTGAATTATAAGTGAAATAATCTGTCTGTAAATTGTTGGAAAAATTACTTGTGTCATACACAAAGTGTCCTAACCGACTTGCCAAAACTATAGTTTGTTAACAAGAAATTTGTGGAGTGGTTGAAAAACGAGTTCAACCTAAGTGTATGTAAACTTCCGACTTCAACTGGATACGAACACAGCTGCCACTTCATTAAAGCCGTTAGATGCAGTTTATCATAGCACACTGTGCTTTATGACAGGCAACAATTGTAGTACTCATCACTGCATTCTCTACCAGAAAGTTGGTTGGCCCCGTTTGATGTCACGTAGATTGCTATGTTTTCATTTATAAAGCCCTTTTACAAAAATTCCCACTCTACCTAACATCATTACTAAACTTAAGACATATGAGTTACCACACCTGGTCTCAGGGATGGCTAACTTTGGAAATTCCTTTGGTCTCTACTGAGTTAGGTAAATCAGCTTTTAGTTTTCCTGCACCTTATTCGTAGGACAATCTTCAAAATGTTTCTAAATGTGATGTTCTGGTGCCTCTAGGGCAATTCAGAAAGCTGATTGAGGACCGTATTACTGATGAATGTGTTTGTTTTTTATGACTGTGTTTTTCTTTCTGCTTGCATTTTGTATTTTCTGTCATTTATGTAATTCAGGTCTCATCTGTAAAAGAGACCTTGGTCTCAGTATGACTCCCTGATAAAATAAAGGTTAAATAAAAAAATTAAAAAATAAGCCTTTAGAGACACTCTAATCATAGAGACTGTATATTCAGTAAATATCTAACAGATTCGATCCAGTGTGATCTAACAGATTCTTACATATCCACTCTGATACATATCTAGTAAATATATTTTGTAACAGATCCTTTGGTCAGACATATGGCACATGGAATTCTGAGGAAAAGAGTGTGTACCTATGCACATAAAACATATCTCAGATGCAGAATACATAGGCTATCAATGTGATTTCCTTTTCAATCCCATGCATATACCAGACACATATCTTCCATTCTCAGTAAAAAAAAAAATGTACGCTGAAAATGTGCTGTATAAAGCCAAATACATAAAACCTTTTATAAGCAACCAAGCAACATCATGGAAATATGGGTTGCACTTTATCTTGACACACACTTTAGCAGAAATGCCATATCACAGTCAGTCATTAGTAGTTAAGTGGATCAGTCCTTCGTCCACATATACACTAAAATAGAAACAAAAATATATACACTTTGCTTCTGCTCTTTCTCAATACAAACAGATACAGGCACCAGCAGAAACCTCTATCCCTGCTAGATATGCATACAGACAAGTATGAATAGAGAGCAGCTGGTAAGAACAGAGTAAGCATAGATTATTATTATTTTAGGATAGCTTTAGAGTAGAAACAGGGAAGCAGCATGGTACAGTAAGTGTCAAGGTAAATGAAGAAGACTCACCTTTATAAGAGAGTTTTAGCCGGGGTACGTTGCTCTTCGTCTTCTGTGCTTCAGAGAGAACCACCACCCCACACAGCAACACCACCATGCCCCAGAAAGAGGCCATGATCCTGGGGAGAGAGAGGCCAGACAGGTCCCTGAAGAACCAGTCCTCCGGAACACAGAATAGATCTCAGCAGAACCAGGATCAGTCCCAGATCAGGGGTAGAGTTTCCAGAAAATAAAAATCATCAAGACTTGAAATACTGATCAAGTCTGTTCAGTCCAGTAATTTCGCAAAACTGGACCAGAACCTGTCCTAGGTTCAGGGGTTAAGGGTCAGGGGTTCCAGAGACACAGAACCTGCAAATGGAGCAGGGGTATGGGTCAGTGTTATAGACAGCCTGTCTAAGCAAGCCAAACGGAACCGAGCCAAACCGAACTAAGTGGAACTGAACCGAGCTAAACAGGACCCACACAGCAGACTCACATCACCCCAGTGTGGGAGGTCAGAGGCAGGGGGAGTCCCACCATACTGATTCCATGGAGAGTGAGGGGAGCTGAGCTAGAAATCAGTCTTTACGTGGTCTCTGCTCCAGCAATTCTCCAGTGTTGACTCTCTATTTGTTTCTCTATTGTCTCTCTTCCAGCATGTCCTCACTTAAAACTCTGTCTTTAGTTAGTAAAGAAAAACAGGTCCAGTATGTTCCAGCTCCTAATCCAGTTAGTTTGAGAAACAGAGTCTTCCCTGAGACACTCCTTCACATAATATTTACTACACAGATCCACTATATGTCCTCAATATAGCCCAGCTCAGCCTAGCCCTGTCCACACTGCACACTGCACACAGAGCAACTGAGAACAGCTGAGGGAGCCAGCACAGCCAGAGAGAGAGAGAGAGAGAGGGATGGGGGGGGGAGTGGAGGCGGGTAAGAGAAAGAGCACAGGAACGAACGTGTGAGAGAGCAAGAGAGCTGCAAGAGTGAAAGAGCGAGAAGGAGGGAGAGAGAGAGCGATAGAGAGTGAGAGAAGGAGGGCAGAGAGAGTAGAAGAGATACGTGCGGTAAGTGAATGATGTACTGTAAGTGAATCCTGTAACAGAGAGGTTGTGACAGTTTATTTTCTACACTAAACTCTACTGTTCTACCTCAGATTTCTCTATTCCTCTACCCTTGACCTCCTCTACTGTCCTTCTCCCGAAATACTGTATATTTGACAGCAGGACTCTATCAGTACCACTGCCAGGACATTAGGTCATTGGTCTAATGAGTATAGACAGGTTCGGTCAAGATCACTCAACAGTCTAAATGCTCCATAATAACCATCTGACTGAGTCCCATACAGCCTCTACAGGTCTGGCTGGCTGTACACACCACTGTTACTGCTTCTCAGCCAAACACACAATTTACTGGTCAGCCTTGCAAAACAGGGCCAAGGACTTCACTGTCCTTGAAACAGAGAGAGGGAGAGAGAGAGAGAGGAGGAGAGGGGGTAGAGACTGAGAAAGAACAAATAGAGATAGAGTGAGGGCGGAGTGTGGGAGACAGAGACAGCAAGAGAGAAAGAGAGAGAAAGAGAGAGGGAGAGGGCTAGCTAATGGTATTGTAATAACAGCTTGCTACAGTAGTTGCAGTGGGCTAAAGGCTAGTAGCTCTGAAAATGGACTCAGCTTTAGATTACTGTCCTGTGAAACACTACGATTACAGTAAAGCTCAGGCCTTATCTGGCTTTTATCAAACTTTGATCATTTATAACATGTTTCAGATTAGTATTATGCCATTAAACATATGCCAGGTCGCAGTTGTAAATGAGAAGTTGTTCTCAACTGGCTTACCTGGTTAAATAAAGGTTAAATAAAAAAAATATAATATATATACATGTATCTTTATTTACATTTCCTGCTTTTGTTGTGAATAATTGTTTATATTTACATTTTACATTTTAGTCATTTAGCAGACGCTCTTATCCAGAGCGACTTACAGTTAGTGAGTGCATACATTTTCATACTGGCCCCCTGTGGGAAATGGACCCACAACCCTGGTTTATTGAGATTACGCAGCAGTACAGTGAATAGATTACATCCAACAGGCTTTACAGTCTGTTACTGATGTACTGACCTTGGAGCTCTCCATTGAGAATGCTTTGTATTCCAGGACTATGCTTAATTTGGCTCTGTGAAACCAAGAACCACTAAGAAGGCTAGAGTCCAGCTGGTCCTGACATGGCTGGTGTGTCCATATCTGTTCTGACCTGTCTCACACCTCTACTTCCCTTTCTATATACAAACCCATCAACAGTCATCCCTCTATCCCTCCCTCTATCTCTTCCTCCCTCCTTCCACCCTGTTTTCCACCCCTCCTCCATTCCCTCCACCAGCAGTTGTGACTATTTTATCTTCAACCTCTCTATCCCACCTCTTTCACATTTCTCTCTACAGTAATTCTACATCAGTGGAAGTTCCTCAGAGGAGGAAGGGGAGGACCATCATCCTCAGTGAATTTCATAAAAATAAAAACAGTGAAACATTAAAAAAGTTATCCTTTTTAGATAAAACTATACTAAATATATTCACGTCACCAAATAATTGATTAAAACACATTGTTTTGCAATGGTCTAGCCTCAACAGCACTCTGTAGGGTAGCTCCATGGTGTAGCTGGTGTACAGCTAGTTTCCGTCCTCCTCTGGGTACATTGATGTCAATACAAAACCCAGGAGGCTCATGGTTCTCACCCCCTTCCAAAGACTTACACAGTAATTATAACAACTTCTGGAGGACGTCCTCCAACCTATCATAGTCCTGACAGCATGAACTTGACATGGGGCGGAGGGTAAGCTTAGGGTAAGGTAAGAGCGTTGTGCAGTACCGAAAGGTCGCTTTGGTTTCTAATCCCCGAGCAGGAGGCTAGGTGAAAAATCTGTCGATGTGCCCTTGAGAGCAAGGCACTTGAAACCCTAATTGCTCTGTAAGTCGCTCTGGATAAGAGCGTCTGCTAAATGACCAAAAAAAAAAAAAAAAAAAATGTTGTCCACCCAATCAAAGGATCAGAGAATTTAGTACTGAAAGCATAAACTACAGTTAGCTAGCACTGCAGTGCATAAACTGTGGTGAGTAGCTGACTCAAAGAGAGAGAAAGACAATGGTTGAACAGTTTTGAACAAAAAAATGTAGTTCAAAATGAAGGAAATGCAAGAGAAAGAGCGAGAGATAGCTATATTTAGTTGTATTTTTTTCACTTTCACTTTCACTTAGCTAGCAAATGCAGTTAACTAGTTTAGCCTACTCAAACAGCTGGCTCAAAAAGAGAGGGATGCTATGTTAGCTATCTGGCTATGGCTTTCCAACACTGGAACTCTCTCAAGTCAAGATAAGCTTTTGATTTTATTAATTTATTGCCACCGGGGCCCACCGGTGTAACTGCTAAACTGCTTGCTGGCTGTACACTGTACTGCGTGATTGTAGCGGATTTCGACATTACTAACGTTGTTAGCTACAGTGAGGGAAAAAAGTATTTGATCCCCTGCTGATTTTGTACATTTGCCCACTGACAAAGACATGATCAGTCTATAATTTTAATGGTAGGTTTATTTGAACAGGTGAGAGACAGAATAACAACAAAAAAATACAGAAAAAAGCATGTCAAAAATGTTTTGAATTGATTTGCATTTTAATGAGGGAAATAAGTATTTGACCTCTCTGCAAAACATGACTTAGTACTTGGTGGCTAAACCCTGGTTGGCAATCACATAGGTCAGATGTTTCTTGTAGTTGGCCACCAGGTTTGTACACATCTCAGGAGGGATTTTGTTCCACTCCTCTTTGCAGATCTTCTCCAAGTCATTAAGGTTTCGAGGCTGACGTTTGGCAACTCGAACCTTCAGCTCCCTCCACATATGTTCTATGGGATCAAGGTCTGGAGACTGGCTAGGCCACTCCAGGACCTTAATGTGCTTCTTCTTGAGCCACTCCTTTGTTGCCTTGGCCGTGTGTTTTGGGTCATTGTCATGCTTTAATACCCATTCAAGACCCATTTTCAATGCCCTGGTTGGTCCCAGCTGCCTTCAGATCATTGACAAGATCCTCCCGTGTAGTTCTGGGCTGATTCTTCACCGTTCTCATGATCATTGCAACTCCACGAGGTGAGATCTTGCATGGAGCCCCAGGCCAAGGGAGATTGACAGTTATTTTGTGTTTCTTCCATTTGCGAATAATCGCACCAACTGTTGTCACCTTCTCACCAAGCTGCTTGGCGATGGTCTTGTAGCCCATTCCAGCCTTGTATAGGTCTGCAATCCTTGGAGAGGTCTTTGGTCTTGGCCATGTTGGATAGTTTGGAATCTGATTGATTGATTGCTTCTGTGGACAGGTGTCTTTTATACAGGTAACAAACTGAGATTAGGAGGACTCCCTTTAAGAGTGTGCTCCTAATCTCAGCTCGTTACCTGTATAAAAGACACCTGGGAGCCAGAAATCTTTCTGATTGAGAGGGGGTCAAATACTTATTTCCCTCATTAAAATGCAAATCAATTTATAACATTTCTGACATGCATTTTTCTGGTTTCTTTTGTTGTTATTCTGTTTCTCACTGTTCAAATAAACCTACCATTAAAATTATAGACTGATCATTTCTTTGTCAGTGGGCAAACTTACAAAATCAGCAGGGGATCAAATACTTTTTTCCCTCACTGTAATATGGTGACAACGATGTAGGCTTTGTGTAGCGGTTAGCGGTTATGATATGAAGGTTTGGCTTGGAAAGGTTTTTTCACTTGGTCACAGGCAGCTCATGTGTTGTGCACTGAAGTCCACAAGCAAAGGGGAAAGGTGAGAGGAGAAGAGCACGTAGATGAGAGAAGGAATTATACAACGATCTGCCTGCTACGAAAGTGAACAGTGATTGCGTGTAATTAGGGATCTATTCATTCCGCAGATTCTGTTGAAAAATAAAATCTTAAACGGAAGCAAATAGAACGAAGCGGGGATAAACATACCTGAATTTGTCCAATAGAAACTCTCATTTTGCAACTGTTGGACTAATGATTACTATGGGTATAGGGATAATTCGATTATCATGTACAGTGGGGAAAAAAAGTATTTAGTCAGCCACCAATTGTGCAAGTTCTCCCACTTAAAAAGATGATTTTTAATGAATTTATTTGCAAATTATGGTGGAAAATAAGTATTTGGTCACCTACAAACAAGCAAGATTTCTGGCTCTCACAGACCTGTAACTTCTTCTTTAAGAGGCTCCTCTGTCCTCCACTCGTTACCTGTATTAATGGCACCTGTTTGAACTTGTTATCAGTATAAAAGACACCTGTCCACAACCTCAAACAGTCACACTCCAAACTCGACTATGGCCAAGACCAAAGAGCTGTCAAAGGACACCAGAAACAAAATGGTAGACCTGCACCAGGCTGGGAAGACTGAATCTGCAATAGGTAAGCAGCTTGGTTTGAAGAAATCAACTGTGGGAGCAATTATTAGGAAATGGAAGACATATAAGACCACTGATAATCTCCCTCGATCTGGGGCTCCACGCAAGATCTCACCCCGTGGGGTCAAAATGATCACAAGAACAGTGAGAAAAAATCCCAGAACCACACGGGGGGACCTAGTGAATGACCTGCAGAGAGCTGGGACCAAAGTAACAAAGCCTACCATCAGTAACACACTACGCCGCCAGGGACTCAAATCCTGCAGTCCCCCTGCTTAAGCCAGTACATGTCCAGGCCCGTCTGAAGTTTGCTAGAGTGCATTTGGATGATCCAGAAGAGGATTGGGAGAATGTCATATGGTCAGATGAAACCAAAACATAACTTTTTGGTAAAAACTCAACTCGTCGTGTTTGGAGGACAAAGAATGCTGAGTTGCATCCAAAGAACACCATACCTACTGTGAAGCATGGGGGTGGAAACATCATGCTTTGGGGCTGTTTTTCTGCAAAGGAACCAGGACGACTGATCCGTGTAAAGGAAAGAATGAATGGGGCCATGTATCGTGAGATTTTGAGTGAAAACCTCCTTCCATCAGCAAGGGCATTGAAGAGGAAACGTGGCTGGGTCTTTCAGCATGACAATGATCCCAAACACACCGCCTGGGCAATGAAGGAGTGGCTTCGTAAGAAGCATTTCAAGGTCCTGGAGTGGCCTTGCTAGTCTCCAGATCTCAGCCCCATAGAAAATCTTTGGAGGGAATTGAAAGTCTGTGTTGCCCAGCGACAGCCCCAAAACATCATTGCTCTAGAGGAGATCTGCATGGAGGAATGGGCCAAAATACCAGCAACAGTGTGTGAAAACCTTGTGAAGACTTACAGAAAATGTTTGACCTGTGTCATTGCCAACAAAGGGTATATAACAAAGTATTGAGAAACTTTTGTTATTGACCATATACTTATTTTCCACCATAATTTGCAAATAAATTCATTAAAAATCCTACAATGTGATTTTCTGGATTTTTATTTCTCATTTTGTCTGTCATAGTTGATGTGTACCTATGATGAAAATTACAGGCCTCTCTCATCTTTTTAAGTGGGAGAACTTGCACAATTGGTGGCTGACTAAATACTTTCTTCCCCCACTGTAAATAAGGCCATGCTCAAAAAAAAAAAAATGTTCTCCCTCATCTTAAACTTCACCAACCGCCACTGTTTTACATCTGTTTCTCTCTCTCCATCTCCGTGAGATCCCTCTACAGTCAGACATTATACTTACTATTCGCCAACTGAGATCACTTGGCAGGGCTTGCTACACTCTGGTGCCAATGCTTACTCTACTGTAAGCTTTCATCAGTGAAGGTTAGTTAAAACATTATTGTTAAATTAAAAAAATATGAACAAAAGCTTTATAAAGGTACTGGCATGTAATTGTAGAGTTGTGTTGAGATGGTGTAAAGTTACTTAGCACAGTATTCCGCTGTTGTGAAGTTTTTGTATTTGTAGTACCTAGAACCTAGACTGGCCTAAAATTATAGATACTGTATGTCTGTTCTAGACAAATAAAACATTTTCATAAATTCAGAATTGAACTCTAAATTACCCTGTTACTTAAATTAACCTTCAACCTACCAGCATATTTTACATACATGGATTAAGATACATGGATTAAGAAGTATTGCTAAAAGCAAAAAAAAAA